CTCCACATCCCACCAGCAGACTCGTGCGATTCATGTCCTTGCCTCTCAAGGGAAATGAGAGCTGAGAAAGGTTTAGAGGAGTACAGCAATGAGGGAGACCCAGTACCCCAAACCCAGCCTGTGCAGAGGTAAGTGCTGGTCCAAGATGCTCTTGATTTACTGGGGGATTGATCACTTCCCAGCCTGAGATGAAGGGAGAGGTGGCCAGGCTTCCTAGCCAGGTCCCTCCTTCCATGGTCCTCTGTCCTCACAGTGTCCACAGTGAATGGTCAGCAAGGGCTTTGAAGGCTTAGCTGGCTGAGGGAATGCAGCGCAGTGTGGGAAGCATGGGAATTAACCAAGCAGGCTACTTAGCAAAGAATTGCTTGTCTTTGAACTTGAACCTACAAATAACTTCATCCTTGTTCTTTGCGTTATTAAAGCCTTTTCTGGAAATCATCAATTCATATTCATCTGCAAGAGCAACATCCAAAGGTCTCTGTTAGTGGGGGCTGAGTGCTGCCTCCCTCTGATCCCACAGCTGTGGTGGGCTGCCCCCAAATGGAATTCCCTGGGGCCTCCTATGAGGAAGCTGTGTCTGAATCAACATCTGTGCACCCCCTGGTCCTCACCTGGTGTCACTGAGGGTATAACTGAGACAGCTGGGCTGGGCCTGGAGTACTTGGGGGTTTCTCACCATTGACTCTGACCCATCAAGCTCATTAAAGGCCCCCAGTCTCATCCCCTCCCAGTACTGGGGCAAACCTGGCCATGGTTTCTGACCTAGAAGTCTCAAGGTCTTCCCTAAGGGGTGCAGGCAGTGCTCTCCACCAGCCCCTCCCTTATATAAATGACAGAGGAACCAAGACAACATAGGCTGAGGATAGCCCTGACTCTTATCTGAGGTGAGCACCCAGGCCCGGGTGCCCATAAAATTTCCTGACACTTGGGGATCTGTTCCTCTTCCCCTCACAGTTTCTGTGTGTCTATGGCAGGATGGAAACCCTAAGAGCAAGGCTGGGGAGTGACCAAGGAGGTGAGAACCCTGCATAGAAGAGGCCTCCACAGAAGGTGAAATCCTGTCTTAGCTGTGGTCCTGAAGTCTGCAGTGACTGCTCTTCCCCTCCCTCTTCCTGGCCCTTCATGTGCCTCACACTCGCCCCCAGGGATCCATCAAGCACCCCCTTCTGCCAGGGTGGGTGACAATGACTTGCTAAGGTGCAGTTATGGGCCATAGCCCTTTGCCAGGCTGCTGGGGATTTTCGGCCCCTAAAGCAAATACCAGGGGATCCAGAGAGGGCAGCTAGTGAGCCTGGCTCCTGAGGAGCTGGCCAGGATAACAGGCAAGTCTTCCTACTGCAAGCCCTAGGGCATTAGCCTCCACCCCTGCCTCCTGGCCCAGGCTGGTTAATTCCAATCCCAAATGCTTGATTAACCCAAAGTCAATTAACTCCAGGAACATTCCTCAGAAATGCCAGCACAGCCCTGGCCCCTGATTCCTCCTGCTTCAGGTCTTCCTGAAACTGCCATCAGATCAAGGCACAGTTTGCAAATTCTCTACTTTGAGGCAATTAGATTCTTGGGCTGTGGGCTGAAGCTGGCCTGCTGACGTGTTTTGAAAGGTTTCAAGTGTTTAAAAAAAGGGGGGGGGGAGTCCATGTTGAAAAGTCTGCATATTTTCCCTAATAATCCAGAATACTAGCGTTCTTGGAAAATGGAAACACTTGGTATGAATGGGTTTGTATTTCTGTGTGTCACCCACTGGCTGGACCAGCGGCCACTGCCTCCTCAGACTGGGATGCTCTCCAGTGGCCAAGCACTTGTCTTTAAACCAGGACCCCTCATAGTACAGGTCATCATTCTTGGCTTGGCCATGGCTTACTTCTCTTGTTTTTGGTACCTTCCTGGGCCCTGAGGGCACCTGATGCAGTGACCCTGCCCTGGAAGAGGCTGAGCCACATGGAAGTGTGAGGAGAGCCCTGAGGTTTTGAGAAGTAGGGAAGTCCACCTGATGGCCCCCTGTTAAGATAGCAGACATGTGGGCTACTTGGGGTAGCTTTGGGGTCCCTAAGTGACACACCCTTTCCCACACCAGTGGCGAACAAGACCATGTTGCTTCTGAATCCAAATCTGCCAGGCTGCATCCTCACTGCTCACACTTCATAAGGGTCCTCCTGCCCACCCTGACACAGGAATCCATATTTGTCCTGGAAGTAACAGTTGGGACACTGTCTTGCACACACACCTTTGTCAACACAGCATGGTCCACCCTGTGCAGGGCGCCTGCCTCGCCATCTCCCAGAGCATCATTTGCAATTACATCCTTGGATTATTAATTGTAAAGAATGATTTCTTTGCAAGGCAGAACCCTAAACTAATAAGCCATATTGCAAGTAGATACAGGCAGAGAAGGGAAATTCAGCTACTGAATGTGAAGAAATCAGGCTCTCAGTGAGGCAAAAAAAAGCCAGTGCAAGCCCTCCTGCTATAAGCAAAAAACCAAAAGGAACCAGAAATGAGTAAATCTGTGCCAGGCCAAGCTTAGTAAATCCTGTGTTAATCCCAAATGACATTCACCACTAATGAGCATCTTTACACGTTCTCTTTTAAATCTTCCAACAAAACCATGAACTAGACATGATCTCCTACCCAGTTTTACAGAGAGGGAAATTAAAGCTAAATAGAGCAGGGGAATCTCCCAACCCCTGGCAGTTATAGGGCCGGATCTGACCTCAGGTGCCCAGTCCAGGACCCACTTTTGCCATCTCTGCTCCTGTCTTAATTTCAAACACCCATCACTCTGCTCTCCCAGGACAAGCCCTCTCTGATACCCTGAGATGTGGTCTTCACCTCACAGGGCTGTGAGTCTGGAACCAGAAAGCCTCGTTGGGCACCTGGCCAGTCTCAGCCTCAGGGTGAGGGGTGAGCCCGGCCTCCTCCTCTGGGTACATGACAGGAGCAGGGGCAGCAGCCGGGCATGGAGCCATCGGACAGCCCTGGGAAGGCAGGCAGCTCCCTGAGAAGGCCAGTGGGGCTGAGCATGGAGAGGGCATCTGACTGCAGGAGGCTGACAAGGGCGCACAGGCGGACGGGACCTGCTCTGGGGAGGGAGGGTCTGGGAGCACCGTGTGCTGCCTGGCTCAGATGCTTTCAGAGAAATTGGACACCAACTACTGCAACTTGGATGTACCTTTAAGGCAGCAGTCCTACATTAGTCTTGATCCCAGGGAATTCCTTTCCCAAGCTCACAGAGAGTTAAGTGTCAGGATGGTCCCTACAATGTGACTTTATGTGGAGCCTGAAGAAGGAAGCCAGGGGTCACCTTGAGACCATGAAGGAACTAGGTGACTCCCAGAAACCACGGGGCAGATAGGGGTCTTATACAGCAAAGCAAATGGAGACAATGTCTGTGGCAAGGAAACTGTAGGTGAGGACTCCTTAGTGAAAGGGATGGTCTCCAAAGAACCCAGGAAGCTACTTTTAGAGCAGGATGACTGGCATCTGGAAAGAGCTACAGCCAGAGAGCACTAGCACCAGGGGACAACCACAGCGGCCAAGCAAGAACTTCTCTGGTTCTTCCCACTCTGGGGTACAAACCAGCAGCTAGGGAGGTGGGCAGGAGAAGGAAGAGAAGAGAGAAGTTGATTACACCTCCCACAAGCACACCTGTCCCACTGCAGGGCTCCCAACCTGCTGTAGGTCTGAGCTGAGGGAGGGGAGAAGGCCTAAATATAGTTTAGGTACTATTCATTACCTATTAGTGATTGAGAAAGCCCTGAAAACAGCCAGAGGTTTCACCCAGGGTCAAGGAAGAATGAGATGGGAGTCAGTTTAAATGGGGAGAAAGGATATATATAACTGCTTTCTATTTGCATCCTAGCAAGTCTAGCTCATTCAAAATCTGGTTACAGATACACAACCATGGAATGATAATTGCCACGTGAAAAAAAACAAAGAATAGAACAATGTATATAATATGGTGTCTTTTATCTAAGAAAAGGAAGAATATTAATACAAACAATTTAATTAATTAATTAATAGGTAGATAAATTTGCTTACACTATTAACCATGGAAGGATAAATCAAAAACTAGTAAAAATGCCATAAAAACCAACAACATAACGCCATTTGCAGCAACATGGATGTTCTTGGAGAACGTCATTCTAAGTGAAGTAAGCCAGAAAGAGAAAGAAAAATACCATATGAGATCGCTCATATGCGGAATCTATAAAAAAAAATACAGAACAGAAACAGACTCATAGACATAAAACACAAACTTGTGGTTGCCAAGGGGGTAGGGAAAAAAAACTAGTAAAAATGGTTTCCAATAAGGAGAAGAAGGAGACAGGATTGGAAATTAGACTTCACTTAAAGTAACTTGTTTTACGGTTTTGACTTTGGAGCCACTTAAATGTCTTACAGAATTATAAAACAAAATTAAATCAATAAATTTTAAAGCAATATCTAAAAATAAAAAACAAATGAAGCAGAAGAACTTCACTACACATCAAGGTTGTGGGTTAACCACAGAGATTTATTTCAAGTGTTTTAAAACTCCTTCTTAAATAGAATCTGTGTCTTGTAGCTCTTGCAGTTATAATCCACTGTTATACTAGAGACCTGCTGAAGTGAGGTTGGAGAGAGGAGCCATTACATAGCCCCAAGATTAAATCTCAGTCCTTTAGTGGGCCTGAGTCCATAGGCTATGACCTTAGAAGATTTCTTAGCTTTTTTCTACTCCTCTTAAGTGAGACAGGAGGACTAGAGGGGGCTGGAGTTGGCCAACTGCCCTTCCCTAGGCAGCTAAGACTCTCTCTTGGAGAGAGGTCTTTGTTATGGAGAACCCTCTGGATTCTCAAGGGGATTTTTCTTAGATCTTTACCTTGAGAACTCAGTGGGGTTCCAGAAGGTAAAACCTATGAAAGTATAGGGACTTCCCTAAGCCTAGCGTGTCTCACTTTCAAGCTAATCCACACTCAGCCTCCAACAATTGGTCAAAATTACCATTTAAGTGTACCTACCAGTTTGTGGCTCCAGCAGTTTCTGCTCTAGGTATGCTGATTCTGACTGTAATTCTCTCCATTCATCTGTCTCCAGATTTGAGGGTAGTGGTGTGCCCTGTGACCTCAGTGCTCCAACGGGTCTAAAAAAAGTTGTCGATTTTC